CCCTCTGACCCTCCCCCCTCTCATGTGCTCTCTCTCATTCTCTCTCTCTCAAATAAATAAATAAAATCTTAAAAAAGAAAAAAAGATTCTCATCAAAAAAAAAAAAAGAAAGAAATTGATTTCTTGTTGACTTCTATTAAGAAATCCTGCTAGGATTTTGATTGGAATTGCTTTGAATCTGTATATTGGTTTGAGGATAATTGATATCTTAACAATATTGTCTTCCAACTCATGAACATGGTATATCTCTCTATATATTTAGATTTGCTTTGATTTCTTTCATCAGTGTTTTGTACTTTCAGCGTACAGATCTTTTTTAAAATTTTATTTTATTTAAATTCAATAAGCCAATATATAGTACATCAATAGTTTTTGGTGTAGTGTTCAAGAATCATTAGTTGCGTATAACACCCAGTGCTGATCACATCATGTGCCCTCCTTAATGCCCATCACCCAGTTACCACATCCCCCCCACCTACCTCCCTTTCCACGCCCCTCAGTTTGTTTCCTGGAGTCAAGAGTCTCTCATGGTTTGTCTCCCTTTCTGATTTCTTCCCATTCAGTTTTCCCTCCCTTCCCCTATGATCCTCTGCACTATTTCTTATATTCTACATATGAGTGAAACCATATGATAATTGTGTTTCTCTGATTGACTTATTTCACTTAGCATAATACCCTCCAGTTCCATCCATGTTGATGTAAATGGTAGGTATTCATCCTTTCTGATGGCTGAGTAATATTCCATTGTATATATGAACCACATCTTCTTTATCCATTCATCTGTTGAAGGATATCTCAGCTCCTTCCACAGTTTGGCTATTGTGGATATTACTGCTATGAACATTGGGGTGCAGGTGCCCCTTCTTTTCACTACATCTGTATCTATGGGTAAATGTCCGTAGTGCAAATGCTGGGTCATAGGGTAGCTCTACTTTTAACTTCTTGAGGAAACTCGATACTGTTTCTTGAGGAACCTTGATACTGTTTTCCAAGCTTGCATTCCCACCAACAGTGTAAGAGGGTTTCCCTTTCTCCACATCCTTGCCAACATTTGTTGTTCCCTGTCTTGTTAATTTTAGCCATTCTAACTGGTGTGAGGTGGTATCTCAATGTGGTTTTGATTTGTATTTCCCTGATGATAAGTGATGTAGAACATTTTTTCATGTGTCTGTTGGCCATTTGTATGTCTTTTTCGGAGAAGTGTCTGTTCATGTCTTCTACCCATTTCTTGACTGGATTCTTTGTTTTTTGGGTGTCGAGTTTGAGAAGTTCTTTATAGATCTTGGATACCAGCCCTTTATCTGTTATGTCATTGGAAATATCTTCTCCCATTCTGTTGGTTGCCTTTTAGTTTTGTTGACTGTTTCCTTTGCTGTGCAGAAGTTTTTATCTTGATGAAGTCCCAGTAGTTCATTTTTGCTTTTGTGTCCCTTGCCTTTAGAGATGTGTCTTGCAATAAGTTGCTGCAGCTGAGGTCAAAGAGGTTGCTGCCTGTGTTCTCCTCTAGGATTTTGATGGATTCCTGTCTCACATTTAGGTCTTTCATCCATTTTGAGTTTATCTTTGTATATGGTATAAGAGAATGGTCCAGCCTCATTCTTCTGCATGTGGCTGTCCAATTTTCCCAGCACCATTTATTGAAGGGACTGACTGTCTTTTTTCCACTGGATATTCTTTCCTGCTTTGTCAAATATTAGTTGACCATAGAGTTAAGGGTCCATTTCTGGGCTCTCTATTCTGTTCCACTGATCTATCTATGTGTCTATTTTTGTGCCAGTACCATGCTGTCTTGATGATCACAGCTTTGTAATACAGCTTGAAGTCAGGCATTGTGTGGGCCCCCAGCTTTGGTTTTCTTTTTCAACATTCCCCTGGCTATTCAGGGTCTTTTCTGGTTCCATACAAACTTTAAGATTGTTTGTTCCAGCTCTGTGAAAAATGTCGATGGTATTTTGATAGGGGTTGCATTGAATGTGTAGATTGCTCTGGGTAGCATAGATGTTTTAATGATGTTTGTTCTTCCAATCCATGGGCATAGAATGTTTTTCCATCTCAGCATACAGATCTTGCATATATTTTGTTGGATTATTACCTAAGTAATATCATAGGTTTTGGTGATAGTGTAAGTTGTATTGTCTTTATTTCAATTTCTAATTGTTCATTGCCAATATATACAAATATAATTGATTTTTGTATAATTGATCTTGTATCCTACAACTATGCTAAATAGTTCTAGTAGCTTTTTTGTAGATTTTGGGGTGATGGTTTCCTACAATGACAGTCTTCTGTGAATTGAGATGGTTTTATTTTTTTTATTCCATCTGTATGCCTCTTATTTCTTTTCTTGCCTTATTGTACTGGCTAGGACCTCTAGTATTCGTTGTATCTGAATGGTGAAAGGGAATATCCTTGCCTTAGTCTTAGGGGGAAGTACTCAGTTATTCATAACTGAATATAAAGTTAGCTGTAGGTTTTTTGTAGTTCCTATTAATAAGTGGAAGAAGTTTCTTTCTATTCTTAGTTTGCTGATGGTTTTTATCATGAACAGATGTTAAATTCTATCAAATGCTTTTTCTGAATCTATTGAGATGATCACATTTTTCTTCTTTAGTTTGTCGATGATTTTTTTTTTTTAGTGTACTGGTGATTTACATAGATTGATTTTCAGATATTGAACCAATTTTCAGTCTCAGGATAAATCATACTTTGTCACAATGCATTATCCTTTTTATATATTGCTGGATTCAATTTGATAGTATTTTTTTAAGGATTTTACATTTATGTTCATGAAGAATATTAGTTGTAGCTTTCTCTTCTCATAAAGTATTAGGGTAATGCATAGGTAATTATTAGGGTATCAGGGTAATGCTGGCCTCATAAAATGAGTTGGAAGTGGTCTGTTCTCTTCTATTTTCTGGTAGGGTTTGTTTAGTATTGGTATTATTTCTTCTTTAAATGTTGGTAGAATTTGCCAATGAAGCCATCTAGACCTGGAGCTTTAATTTATTGGAAAGTCGGAAAGTCTTAATATAATTCCAGTTTCTTTAATAGATAATCTGAATAGTGATCTTAGGAAGTTTTCATCTTAAGGAATTTGTCCATACGATCTAAGTTTTAGAATTCACAGTTATTCATAATATTCCTTTACTATCCTTTTCAATATCTATAAGGTCTCAGTGATGTCCCCTCTTTCATTCCTAATATTTGTAACTTGTGTCTTTCCCCCCCGCCTTGGTCAGTTTGTCTAAGGGTTTGTATTAGTTATTTATTGTTTTATAACAAATTACTCCAAAACTTAGTGGCCTAAAACAACAAACACTAACTCACGGTTTTTCTGGGTCAGAAATCTGGGAGTAGTTTTGCTAGTTGGTTCTGACTCAGCATTTCTCATGAGGCTATAATTAAGATGTCAGCTGGACCTGCAGTCATTAGGTTTGACTGGGACTGGAGAATCCATATCCAAACTCACTCAAAGGGCTATTAACTGAAAGCTTCAGTTCTTCACTACATGGGTATGGCGTGGGAGCTGACTTCCCCCAGGGTGAGTGATCCAAGAGAAGAGAGCAAGAGAGAATCTAAGTCTTTTGGAAGTAGAATGCCATCACTTCTGCCATATGCTATTGGTCTCATAGACCAACTCTCATACAATGTGGAAAGGGACTACAAAGGTTATGAATAGCAGGAGGCAGGGATTATTGGGGGCCATTGTGGAGGATGGTTACCACAAGGTTTATCAATCTTATTGACCTGTTCAAAGAACAGCTTCTGTTTTCTTTGATTTATCTCTATTATTTTTCTACTCTCAGTTTTATTGATTTCTGCTCTTATCTTTATTACCTTCTTTCTGCAGATAGATAAGTCTTACCGAGAAGACGTGTATGATCTTTTTCCTGGGACATTCCAAACCATTGAGCTGTTTGCAGATCACCCAGGGACATGGCTGTTACACTGTCATGTGTCTGACCACATCCATGCTGGCATGGAGACAACTTACACAGTCCTTCGGAACATAGGTACTGTTTTCTGTCAGCGATGATGGGTGATAGCACCAGGCTTCCCATAGGCCCTGAAAATAGAGGGCTCAAGAGCCCCCAAGGGCTCAGAGTCAAGTAAGAGAGGCAGACATATAAATAGTAACTATAATAGAATATGATACATGCCAACATAGAGTGCAGAGTACAGGGCTCAGTGGCAGCAGTAGGAGGTAATGGTTAACAGTGTGGGGATATGAGCAAACATTCTAGAGGCTCTAATGCTTCAGATGGATCTTAATGGGTTAGCAGAAGCTTGAAAGGTAGATGGGGTAAGGATAGCATGTGTATGGGTATGAAGTAGAACAGTGAGAATTTAAGAAAGACCTGCAGATACAAATGGGATAAAGTCCTCATTGGTAAAATGACGTAACCCTTGAAATAACTCATGTCATGAAAAGAATCTACTTCTGCTGTTTATAAAAAAAATCAACTTGTCATCTTTGTCCAGACAACAGGATCCCTTACTCCACCAAGTCTCCATCTGGTGGAGCGTCCTGCCCAGCCACAGTGCCCTCCAATGGTAACGATACCCCTCCCCGAATCCCGCATGTGAATGGTCAGCGTTCACTCCCTAGGGAAAGGCAGAGGACTGACACCTCACTTTTCTTTTCACAGAAGAACCTGGCAAAGAGCAGCTCTATTTCTTTGGCAAGAATCTAGGTCCTAGGGGAGCCAAAGCAGCCTTGGTCATCCTCTTCATCATTGGACTCCTCCTCCTGATCTCCACAGTGATTCTCTCCATCAGACTGCAGTCTGCAAGGAAGCAGGTTGCATACCGGGAAGTCCAGTCCTGCACACTCCCCACGGATGCTCTGTGAACCAGCTGGTCTTCCTCAGCAAGGAAACTGGACAAGGCATCGTTCATCAAGAAAGGTTTACATTATATCCTGGATCAGGCTCTGATCCTTCAGAACACAACCAAAGCAATTTGCTTTTACTTATTTTTTAATGGGCTGTGAATAATCCTCAGGTATAAAATACAGAAAGAAGAACAGGTGTGTCTGAGAAAACACAGTCTGTTCTCTGAATAAATTTGCTGAGGTGGGGAAACCCTCTGAAAGATATCTTTATTTTCCTTTTTTTTTTTTTTTTTTGTAATTCTTAGATTAGACGGTGCTTCCTCAGCTAACTCTCCAAGTTTCCAGATGGACGACTTTGAGAGTTATACTGCCTCAGACACCTAACTGAAATGGCTCTGATTTTTCAACACTGTTATGTAAGATGTTTCCCTTAGTCATTCCAGGGAAAATAACTTTCTGAGGAGTTCATGGAAATGTCTAAATCAGTATCTGCTGATAGAATTTGACCAAATGAAGTTTTTGGAGCTTTAGCCAGCTCTCCTGGCCTTTTCCACTTTAATATAAATAGCCTGTGTCCTGTTTGCTACAGAAGGTGAAGTTACCAGCATAAAAAAAAATTCCTGCTGTTTTTATGCAAACCAGTAGAGATACTTTAATGTTTACAACTCACTTCATGTTCTGTGTTTTTACAATGTTTCCATGGCAACGTTGTTTTTTTTTTTCCCAAAAAAATCATCTAGAGAATTTGTATTTGTATTTTAGAACGTGGAGGGCCGGAAGCTATAAAAGAGCAGGATAGGTTCTCCCATTGTGAGGCAGAGACTCCCTAAAAGTTTAGTGGGAGCTCCTGTGTGAGGGAAGCTTTGAAGAAGGCGAATCTGGACTTGAGCCTTGAGTCTGATTTTTCATTCACCTAGCAGGATCTTTCCAAGTGTGCATCTTCTAGGAAATAAAAACAGTCTCATCATGTGAACAACACCAGGAAGAATTCATCAGTGCAGCTGACTGGTGGGGAGAAGAGATCTCACAAAATTCTTGATTCCATGCCTCTTAAAGACAGCCCTTTGTGGGAGGAAGGGAAAAAAAAAAAAAAGAGAGAGAGAGAGAAAAGGCTAGAAAAGAGAGAGTCCCAGTGACAAGTTTTAAATCATTAAATCGGCTTTGAAAACATGCATTACAGTTTTCAAGGCTCAAATGTAAAAATAAAGGCAATCCATACTCTCTGTATACATGCCTAAACATTAGGTTAAGATTGATAAAAGCAACTTTGCTTATTACTAGACTTGAGAAATTGCCCTTAACTCAGGGCAAGATGCCCTGCGATGCCAATGTCAATGCCAGATGAGTGATATCAGTACATCTGCCTTGGCAGATCATTTGGATGTCCAGATGAGCAAGTAGGACCTAAAAAAATAACTCGGGTGGAGGGATCTTTCATACTTTCTCATCTTCATCTTGGTGAGGGGAAATGGGTAATTTGATAGCAGTTATAGTATTACATAAACCAGGATGCGAATGCTAATAGTTCTGTTCTTAGTTTGCTTGAATGTCATATCAAACAGTGTACCCAAAGGATTTTGAATTCCAGCCTGCTAACCACTGATAATGTGATTTTGTAGTATGTGCTCTAGGGTTTTCATACATGTGTAGGCTGTATAATTTCATAATAATAATTATGATAAATGCCTTATTTATAACTCACCTAGACAACAAATTAGTTTTTTTCCTTTTCTCTTAGTCTATTTTTTTTAATGAAAATGAAACCATAAAGTAGTTTGATTACACCATTTCTCTTTTTAATAAAGTTTCACAGATTATAAGATGGCTATTTGCATTTTTTTCACTACTACCCTATCACTAGACCTAGGGCGGGGGGTTGGTGAAAGGAGAATTGTCTTTTAGATATTTAGCAACTATCCTAGTTATATACCTGCTAAAGGAAATGAAACAAAATAACAATACGTCTCCCAAAGAATAGGACTCTCCTCAAACATTATTTCCTCAAATGTACCATACTTCTTTCTCTGCCTCAGTCCTTTGAGAAAATCAATTACAATTAGATACATCTCCTGTTACAATGGAAGAAGTGTCCCTGCTCCTAGCAGAGCAGTCTCTTACTTGGCTCTGGACTAACCCTTCTTGCTCTCTCAAGGACTTCACTCCCTCAGTGTTCAGCTTTGTCTAGTGCATGAAGTCATCAGCAGCACCCACCATTAAAAAACAAACAAACAGAGGGCTGTGGTCCTTAACTTCATAACCCTCTCTAACCCAGTTTCTCTGTTCCCTTCAGAGCAGAACTTTTTGTCTGTACCACCTCACCTCATGAATTCCTCACCCCATTCCAGTGACTTCCAGTCCAGTGTGCCTTGCTCCCATCTCCCAGTCTGCTGTTGTCAAAATCAACAACCATGATGCCATTTCCAGGGGCTTCTTCCCCATCTTGATCTCACTCAACCTATTCACAACAATTGACAGCTCCCCCCTTCAAAACACCTCGCAGTCCCTTAGCTCTTCAGCATGACCCCTTGCCAGTCTTCCTTCTTCGGTTGTTCTTCCTTCTCAGTCTCTTGCTAGTTCCTTCTCTCCCATCTAACTTAAGTGTTGGCATGCCTCAGAGCTTGACACTGGGCCCTCTTCTCTTTTCTGGGCCTCTGGGGTAGGCTGAATAATGTCCCCAAAGATTTTGTGTCCTTATCCCTGAACCTGTGTTACTTCTTTATATGGCAAAAAGGACTTTGCAAGTATGATTAAGTGAAGGATCCTGAGATGGACTACTCAGGTTGTCCATAAATAAAAGTCACAGTGCCCTTCTAAAAGAGAGGGAGAGGGAGGTTTGACTACAGAAAAAGGCCATGTGACAACTGAAGTAGGACACTATGCCACGGCTTTGGAGATGGAGGAAGGGGCCACAAGCCAGGGAATGCTGCTCTAAAACCTGGAAAAGGCAAGGGAACAGATTTTCCCCCAGAGCCTCCAGAGGGAGCTTGACCCTGTGGGCATCTTGTATTCCATTAAACATGATTTTGGATTTAAGAGTTCCAGAACTGTTAGAGAATACACGGGAGCCATCAAGTTTGTGGTCATTTTTTACAGCCCTCTTCATATCTTATTTCATTTACTTCACTTTTAATTATATCCAAACTCCTTACGTTGGTCTCGGGCCCAGCCTGAGTTGGCCCATGCCCACCTCTCCTCATCTCCAACTCTTCTTTTTTCTAGCTTTGATCAGTTCTTGTGTCCTGCTAGTTCTTTTCTGCCTCAGGACCTTTGCACATGCTGCTTTCTATGCCTGGAGTACTCTTCCTCTCCAGCACTCTCATTCCCCTTCCTACCTTTCCTAGCTCATCTGTGAGCTCACCACACTGCCGTCTGTTATTTCCTATCTTTATTTTCCTTTGTAGCACTTATCACAAGACATGACCATTTTATCCTTCTGTTGGTTTGATTTTCTTCTGCCTCTTTGACTGCAATATAGGCTTCATGGAAGCAAAGACCCCTGACCTTTTTTTGTTCATCGCTGCATCCCCAGCACAGACCACAGTGCAGATATATAATAGTTGCTCAGCAAATATTACTTGAATGAATGTGTAAGCAGAATAGACAGTGTAGTGGGCTGGACTATTCTGACTTCGACTATTTCAGTTGCAAAAAGTCTCATATTCAAATGTCAAATGTCAAGGGTCTGAAACAAACAGATTCTGGGACAGTGGCTGTGAGGTCCACAGCTGCTTTGGCTTCCTTCTAATAAATGACACTGGGCAGGGAGGACATGGGAGGAGCATGTATTATTCAATCCCTAAATGCACTTTACAATTAGGAAAAAAAGGTCATCAAAAGTAAGGAAAGTCTAAAAAACTGTCACAGCTAAGAGGAGCTAAGGAGACATGATAACTAAACACAATGTGGCATCCTAGATGGGATCCTAGAACAGAAAACAAAAAGATACGACGTAAACATTAAGGAGATATGAATAAGCTAGATTTTAATATTAATGAAATTATGCATTAATGTATTGATATTAATGTAATCTGATCAACCATCAGATTTTGTATATTTAGGAGAGAGAAGCAAGTGAATTTGGAAATTGGTTATGGCAGCTGGGAGAAACGCAAGCGTTAAAGATGGTGCTGGAGGCTTCTGGCTTGGCTATATGAGTGGATGGTGGTGCACTCAGCCAGATAGGGAAGACTGGAGTTCAGCTGGAGAGGAAGATGACCACAGGCCTGGCCATTATGAGTCCGAAGTCCTGTGAGCCATCCCAGTGCAGAGCTGTGTAAACTGTCGGATGAGTGTTCAGAGGTCAAGGTCTGAGGGACTCGAGGGCAGACGGAGGAGGCTAGCCTGCGCCCGTCCAGGTACAAAGGGCAGAGAAGGCAGCCCAGCGCAAGGAGCCCTCCTATCTAAAGGTCCTGTCAGCCGCAAACGTGGTCGGCTGGAGCATCTCCTCCTGTTTCTCATGCTCCACTTCCTGTAAGTGGCTCAGAAGCAGCTGTCTGCAGCCCCCAATCCCACCCACCCGCGGACAGCCCGGGGCCGGCTCCCGCACCAAGCCTCGGCCGGCTGGGAAGGCCGAAAGAAAAGCGCGGATCCGGCCAGCGATAACTGAAGTGTGAGACCCTGGCGCACGCAGGGCTCCCCACAGCCCTTGCGCCTCCACTCACGCAAGCTCCTGGAAGGATCCACAGTCCCCTCTTCTACACCATTCGAACGGCTTTTATGGCAGCCGTTGCCCTTTGAAGCGTTCGCAGCTCCTTTTAAGCCGATTCCGCCCTATAGAACTGTTGGGAGTGGGGCGTAAAGGAGGACCCTTCTGTCTACACTGTGAGAGGTCGCTTTCGGAAACAATTTCAAAAATCCCGGTCGAGGAACAGGGGAGGCTGAGGCCGAGAGGGGGCGCGAGTATTGCCGAGGTACCGCTCGGTGGGAAGGTCCCCTGCCGAGGTGGATCCCGGGGTCCCTGCACGCTGCCGCGCCCACCCCGCCCGCGTCAGTGCGGTTTCCGGCAACTCCACGCGCCCGGGCTCTCGCGCTCGCCCAGGGTTCCGGAAGAGC